GGAGTTTCGTGATCATCTTGTCATATTACTAACTCCACAACGACCAATTCCTAATAATCATCATCCCGCAGGTATTAATGTCAGGTACACAAAACGAAATTATTTATCAGGTCGTTCTTTTTGTTTTCCTTCAGCAGTTCAACAAATAATTCCACCAATTACTTCTCGCCCTACCGCTTGTCCAAACGTTGCGTTTTTGGCGCATTAAACTTCGGTTATCTCAGAAACTGAAGTAGCTAGAAAGTTCGTTCTAACGTCAATCGACGCAGTTTATCATGCTCGACTTATGCTGTGAAAACGAAGTTCTTTGGATGTTGCATTGGGCTTTGAGAAGGACTTTAATGGCGCATGCTGGCGTTACGAAAAAAGAATCTTTTTTTCGAGTTCCCTTGGATATTCTGTAATTTCCTGTGAAATTAATTATGTGAAAAGGAAACTTCTAGAGTAATTGACCGGCTATCCGATGGTAAAATGATTTCTTCTAGCGCTTTTAGCTAGGGACAAAGATGCAAAATAAAAACGTCACGGTGTTACGCACTTTTTTGTCAAGCATATTTGAGGCACTTAACACGATGGTGAAGTTTTAGTTTTCACAACTTTCTGCGTTGTATATTTGATTGATCTGCGCAAAATCAAGTTTCTGTATGAAAATAAGAGCTCAAAAACTGGACAGTAGGTCGGAAACTGTACAACTATGTTCGTCATTTTGTAGAGAATTCAATTCTCTACAAAAGTATTTTTTTAGGAATTTGTTTTAAAAAATGTTTTTGGTTATAACATTAAATCCGTTTTCTGAAAAGTTCAAAACCAGATTTTTTGGATGAAAAATGAACTTTTTCGAAAAAGTTCATTTCAACGTTTGGACAAGCGGTAGGGCGAGAAGTAATTGGTGGAATTATTTGTTGAACTGCTGAAGCAAAACAAAAAGAACGACCTGATAAATAATTTCGTTTTGTGTACCTGACATTAATACCTGCGGGATGATGATTATTAGGAATTGGTTGTTGTGGAGTTAGTAATATGACAAGATGATTACGAGCCGGCAAGATGCGATGAGATACTGGTTGACTAAGCGAGATGTTGGTAGATGATAATAGTGGTGTGTACGATGATAGTGCTTGTCGTGGTCGTAAACTACTTAGTGGTATTTCATTTCGATTTTCATTAGTACGATCGATAGCTAATGATGATTTATTCGCTGATCCGTCGAAGCTGATAATGTATATGAGCAAAAAGTGCATTGTTTTTTATATTAAAATATGTACTAATACTCTGCGCATCTCCCAAACCATCGTTCAGAAGCTGTCTGTACTATTTTAATGCATTACAGTTATTCGTCTTTTCTTTGAGCTCTACCATGTTTCGATATGTATTGTCACATTACCTAATAACTTCTTAAAAGGCGATTCTTTGTAGGTTACTTTTCATGTTTAGGTGTTCAACCCATATAATTTTTGCTGTAGGAGAACATGAACTGAAAATACACATTAATAATTATGTGAAGAAATTAGACTTTATTTTATTATTACTATCCGTTCTTGTATGATTGCGAATATTGTTACTGTTTGAATAAGTTTACACGTTAAGTGTTTTAGACAGGATCAAGAGAAAAGTGTTATTCTTTTTGTTTTTCACACCGTATTTGTTGTGCGTATTTCACGATATGTGTTATACAAAATCTTCTTTGACAATAATCGCATGCAACGGTAATATCGAGATTCGAACAAACTTGACCATTTGGTAAAAGAACGTGGCATTAGTGTGCTCATTTTTGACTGTGAGAAATACAACATCAGTTTAGTTAGTATTATATAGTCTTTGGGATTGTTAGGAGGTTCGTTAATGCTTTGTATAACAGCTTTGCCTGTATATGATATTAAAATGTAATACGGTAGATACATCAATTAGTGTTGTATAGTCTTTTAATTTTCAGAAAGTTTGTTATTTATTGTGTGGGAGCTACAAATGAATCACTACTTTATATTTGTTATGTCACGTACTAGAGTCGTGACATAAGTCAGAAGATCATACTCAAGGTTATTGCGCAAGAATACTCAATGCTATGGTGCAAGAATATATTCAAGGTTATTGCGCAGAACCTACTCAAGACTATCGCGCAATATTTCCTATATAAATAGATCAATTTTATTGTTCAGCGATATCTTTTTTATTGGTAAATAAACGTTAGGTGAGAAAGATCTTAGTTCATCCGGGAACCTAACAATATTGGCTTATACTGTTACACATACTTTCTTTATCATCTTGTCTCGTTTATCTTCATATGTTGTATGTCGTTTGTTACGGATAATCATTAATCGAATTTCTTATGCTGAACGTAGTTATTGTACAAAAGCAGACCAATTGGTAGCAAGACATACGACATACAACATATGAACCTAAGAGCAAGAAGTTTTTTGTACGGAAAAAACTGCTGATGAATATATGTATCAGAGAGATTGCACGATTCAGTATTGTCACTTGTCAAGTGACGCTGAATTTTCATTTTAAAAGCTCCATACATTTAAAAACATATATCTATCACCTAAAAACGAAACTGGAAAATGCGAGCTGTACAGAATGTAAAAAATTATAGCTTATCGATAAATGACTTATATTCGGTTCTAATTTCGTGTGAAGTGAAATACATAAAAATGTCGTCCAAACGTTGATTTTACAACCACCGTAAAAGAAAACTAAAACATTTTGAATCTGCTTATTTGGGAGAAATGGAGAATAAAGCAAAGCGCAATACGGTGTGTCCACATATTCGGTCTACCCTTAATTGCAATTTGTTATTTTTCATGTGACTCACAATATCATGTTCTGGTAGACATTGCTTTTGTATTGTTAAGGCTTTCCAATGTGCACCAAGTAGTAGTTATAAAATACATGATACATCTCAGAACCATATTTTATCTCAAGGGATTAGTGAAAATTATTCATTCTTGACAGCGATTTTTGGCAGACAAAGCAACGAAGAGAATCTTGCTATGGAGAGCACGGAACAGGAGCATAACAATAGTTTTATTATAGACGATACTTCTGCAGGCGGAGGTAATGGGTTCGCTTTCGCTTGATGAAAATTAGTTTTTTCATTTTTTTTATTGTGTAACAGATGGAGTTGGGGTTAGCATTGTTATGGCTTTGTTGAAAAGTCGTCACAAATTGACATGAAAATGTATTGATGATATGCTGCGTCTGATTAAATTAGTAAATATGGATTATCCGGTAAAATATGGCTACAAAGTACAACAGAAACTAAAAAGCCTTGTACCAGTGTCATCTACATATGAAACCCACTATATTTGTGAGCTCTGTTTTTATATTATTTCAACATCGAGATGTGTTGATTGCAAAAAAATGGAACGAAAAGCGAAAGTACTACGTTTCATCACAATGAATGCCATAGACCAAATGAAAATACTATTTTCTCGCCCCTGTTTCTTTACCAGTGTACATTCCGGTATTGTTTTCAGTAAATAATCTACGGAACATTTAGTTAGTTTAGGCTTTATTTTCTTTGTAAGGGGAACTCAGGGATATTAGGGATGGTACGCTGCGGATGAAAGTACGAGAAGAGCCTAAGGATGGTGCTATTGACGTTGTTTTAACAAGTCAGTTACATTGCGACGGTTCGTAGCTGGTAATTTTTTTTGAAGATGTGTACAGACGCCCTCTATTCTATTTTTTATTCTCTCTTAGGTGTACGAATTTTTGATTCAAAACAAACCTCATTTGTTCCAATTTACTTAGCATTAAATGAGCTACCGATTCAGCAACATTTTCAAGTCTGCTGGCTTTATGGGCAAATGATGTGAATGTCCCTCGATATTTGTTACAAGAGGTATTTCGGGTCGTTTATACTCACAAGGGAACCTTTCGAGGTGATTAAACGCTTTTTGCTCGGAATCTAGTGGGTTATAAGTTATCGACCATGCTGATTACGAATATGACCATGGAGGTTGCCCTTAGTCCTTCAAAGACCTGGTTTTCCAGAAAACTAGTTTTTCAGAAACTCTAAAGTATAACTCGATCCTTTCTTAATAAGACATGATTGTAGCCCGCAAATTAAAATGAGGCATCTCACAGCTCTACACGATCTTTCTTTGCAAAGTTATACAATTTTCAAGAAAAACCGTAAATGTTCATTGTCAGCTCAAAGCTACAGAAACAAGAAGAAATTAATTTAGAGCTTTTCTTGTAATTTCTATAATTTTGCAAAGAAAGGTCGTGTAAAGCTGGGAGATATCTCATTTTAATCAGAAATTTGCGGACTACAATCATGCCTCATTAAGAAAGGATCGGATTATATTTTAAAGTTTCTGAAAAACTCGTTTTCTAGAAAACCAGGTATTCGAAGAGCTAAGAGCAACCCCCATGAACCCCAATCCTCCGTGCGTCATACAGAATCGAACTGATCATCGCTACATCCTGAGAGTCACTAATGGCAAAGCGATATTACACCGAGAATACTCACAATTATTATAACATCAATCTTTCATGCATTTCTCACTTCTGTGCAGTTTTATTTAAGATCTTTACACAGCAAACATTAACTGAGTCTATACACTGAGAAAACCTTTATATTTGCTGCATTCATGACGAAGAAGACCCAGTTTTGATACCCAAAAAGGAATGAAGAAAAATTGTACTTACTCTGTAGTTATTTTGTCCGGTTATTTTACTGATTTAGTTCTACTATAAAAAGGTTCCAAAGCAGATATAAACTGTAAAAAAATTCGAGTATAAAAGTAGTTTACGTTAACAAATACAGTGCCTTATCTAACAGACACTGGTTTTTGTCTCGTTTAAAATGAGAAAATATGTATATATATATATATATATCTATATATATATATATGTTACAGGGAATGTAGGAAATCAGGGAATGTATACATTCCCTAGGGAATATGCACATTCCCTGGGGAATCTATACATTCCCTGACATTCACAGGGAATGTGTGCATTCCCTAGGGAATATTCACATTCCCTGACAACGTTCGGGGAATTTGAGTATATGACATAGAAATTTCTCTTGGAATATAAAAAATTCATAAATTATGTGATGTTTGCAGTTAGAGCAGAGAAAAATCGTAAAATTTAGTGATCTACTATCCATTTCGAAATAGAATGGAAAAAAGTATTTTTTGAATAACTTTTTAACAGAAAGAGTTAGAACTATGCGGTTTCCAGTATTTGATAGAGACATACTGAAAGATTGATGTTATAAT